ATCAGATTTCATGGGAGGTATTGAGTTTGATCCAGAAATTCAAGTCTGAATAATAGGCAACACTAGCATGAAGCTTAACACCGCATTCAGACCCTTTAAAAGGTAAAGTGGCCTATATTGTTTATTTTGGTTCAGCTCTAAAGATTATTAGATCCTAAAATTTTTGGCCAAATATCCCTAGAAATTAGGAAACGAAACATAAGGGGACAAAATTAGCATAAAGGCTGCTTGTACCTTGCTTTGGGAGAGTCAATCAGTCATGGATATAGTTGGCATGCATAATTTCATATATGGCATATAAGATCTTATTAAAAGAATTGACACATTGGATGCATGCTTATTTCCTTATGAATTAATATAAGTAATTTTATTCCAGCACTAAGCTAAATGCATTTGATATCATTCAAGTTGACATGTTTTCACTAAAGCTGATGTCGAAAAACGTGGAATCATAATCAAGAGTACTTGTGCTTGACTTGCAATCTGGCTAGAGAGAGATAGAATAATTGCATATTTTACAAAGGCCTTTTAGTCTAATAAACGCTGCTTATTTTGGGTAGTTTTAATCATGCTGATTTCTAGGTTTTCAAGTAAGCATGACAGTACATATAAGCATAAAGGTTTAAAGTAATAAATTAGAAAGCTAAAACCTAAAACTGAAAGCTACATAAGCATGTATTGTTTTCTAATCTTGTGTTTCACTAACACATTCTGTTAAGCATGTTTTTGATATAAAGTCTTTATCATTCATGCTTGAAAGGCTATTGATCAAAGACTAGAGAACTCGAATATTGCATTAGTTAAGCGAGCCACAGCAGCTTAACTATTGCAGATTCAGTTTCCAATCTAAAAATTGTTAAATAATTGCATCACAGCTAGTAGCCTTTTGTGCTATTTTCATCCACAGATGAAAAGAATACAAATTGATGACAGATGTGATGGAACAACATGGAGAAAGGGTTTGTGTAAACTAACAGGAAATTTCTTGATCCACAGATGAGAAATTTTCCTGTACAAGAAGTTTATTCAGACCTGATATTCGTCTAGTGTTTTAAAACATGTTTAACTTATGACCCACATGTGTAAGTTAATAATGCTTAAGTAAAGCTTCCTCGGGAAATTTTATCCACGTATATTAATGGTGGAGTGACCCAAAAGATAACGTATGTGAATTAATATATGAATTTCTCTCTATCTACATATGTGAGAATTTAACCTACGAAAGAAATTCATATATCAGCTCTTTTGGTGATCACTAAAAATATGTTTGATTCTCAACCCACAGGTGTGAATCAATAATGTACAGATATTTTTAAGCACTATGGGACAACTTATTCATATATGTTTGTGTTTTAAAAACTTTTCGGAATGTCATAATGAACCTTAACTCCATTAGGCGCATATACGGTTTTGTTTTGTTATATGGATTTTAACATGATACATGTCTTATTTATCAGTTTTGATAAATCTCACGTGTTTGAGTTGTTGATGATAATTTATTAATAGTTATCTTAAATAGTGATTAAAGTTGTTTTCATTACTCAAGGGGAAAGATAATTTTGGTTGATCACATAAAGGGAAACGTGAGCTATTTTGAAACTTTCTTGCTTGGCTATATTGTTTGTTTATGTATGGACATGTTTGAGACTTGGTTGCCTTTCGTATGCATTTAAATGAATGTTTTGTAGCATCAATGCAACTTCACATGTAAAAGGATTGATCCGTAGTTGATTTGGATTAAACCATGCATAGTTGGACTGATCCTCACGTGTTAAAAGTATTTATCCGTATTTAATGGATTGAATCATGTAAAGTTGGATTAATCCATAAGGTTGTGTTCACCATAAAATAAATTGGCTGTTTTGTTAGATCATGTTTAAAGGATATTATGTTACTATTATTTCTTAATTGACATGGATCAAATTGCACTTCTAACTAAGGCTTACAAATTTTGTTTTGAATCAAAAGTGGCACATTGCAATATATAAGATACTCAAGATACGAACGATCTTTTGATTGCTCAAAGTTTTTAAACTTGATAAAGTGATATTTTATATTTTACCTTTGTGATATGGTATTAATTTTTTTGTACCTACATGGAACTTAATGTTGAATGTTTAGAATGCACAAGGATAACTAAATTTTGAGGTGTATATTGTTAGCATTCATAAATTTATAGTTGACAATTTTTCTGTTTTGAACTACCCTAACATGTCGTCTGTTAGGGTGAAGTTATAATTCGAATTAACTAATGACAAAATTAGTCGAGAAGGATGATTTTCTAAGGTTTCTGTAGGCGCCGATTTCATGAAATATGTTGAGAATTGAATTTTTGGTGAATTTATAAAGTTGAAACAGATGCACAGAAATTTTCCTAACAGTTTCTGCATTATGTATATAGATTGTTGAATGACTCACCTAAAGATCTTCAAATGACCTGAATTTTTGATATGTTAAGCATATACATGTCTTCATGAATTCTGCAAAGTTTCATGATTATTGGATGTATAGTTTATTTGTGAGAATTTTATTAGTGATCTGTGTTCAGGAAAGTATGTGCTGACAGATTCTCTGAGTAACTTTGTAGATCAATTTTAGACCTTTTAGTTAGCTATAAACGACTCTATAATTTTTATGTTTTTAGATTAATGTCTCTAGTTTGTTTCCATGAAATTTGATGCTAATCCGACTTATAAATTAATTACGGTAAATTCTCAAGTAATCACATATTATTACTGGAAATTTCTTGACAGTTTTGTGCATTTAGGCTTATAATGTGAAGTACATTAGAAGCACGCCTTGAAAGTTCTTTAACACTTGTCACAATCTTTTCAATCATAAGTTTATTGGTGCATTATATATTGAAGTAGCAAAGTATTGAGTGTTTGCCCAAGTCGGAGAAGTGATGTAAAGTTTTGGGCTTCACACTCAATACCTTATTATTTTCTATTTTGATAAAGCTCATAAAGGTTTTGGAGTATACTTGGGATTTGGAGCATACTTGGAACTGTTTTCTGGTTGTTGACGCATTGAAGTATTACATCTTAAGTGTTGGTTTTATGCATCTATATGTTTATGACTAATGCAATAAGGACTTCTTAAGAGTTTCTTGATAGGCAAAACTCTTAGGTAGATGCATATAAATACAAGTGCCCCTGCTCAACCGATCAGGCCAACCCACACAAAAGAAATTCACCCCATCTAGAATGAGTGTATGAAGGGATCAGATTGAGGAGATGTGCTCTTGTATATTCTTGATGTGTGTTCTATCAATGTGCAGTCATTATAGTTTACACTCCACACATGTGAAATCCATGAAATCCTGACTTCACTACTGCGAAAGAGTACAATTTTCTTTCCAAAGGAGGATGCAAAGTAGGCATTCCACGCTTGTATCTCGGGAAATTTTCTGAGGCACACCCAAAGTAAGCATTCCACGTACAATTTGCAAAACACTTGACGAAACAAGCAACGTCACAAATATTGAACGATGGGGAATGCTAGGAACCTTCTCCATTTTCTTCATGACATGTGTCACTTTCCTTGCGCTTAAAACAATGCATCGCACAAGATAATTTTTGTTTTCCAAGTTTACCCTTATTAAATGTATTAACTTTTCATAGCTTTATAATTTTTTTTTTACAACAACCTTGTTAAAAATTTAAATAAATAAAAAACAGTTTTTTTGTTATTGAAAAAAAAAGCGTTTTTTTTTTCTTTTTGTCTCTAGAGAAACGAAACTCCTATTTTCTGTTTGTTTCTATTGGTCATATGGCTATGTAAACATCACATGTGCAGCTTCCGCCTTAGACAAGTTTGACTGTTTTAAGGCAAAAGAATAATCCTTCGAGCATGGTTAAGTACCAATCAATAGTGGTCTAAATTCTTGTGTTTAAAAAACAAACGTTCTCTCTTGAAAAGAAAAACCCACATTTAAAAATATAAAAAAAAAACTGACGTTTTTTCTTATTTAATGTTTTAAAAGGTTGTAAAATAGTTTTTTAAAAAAAAAGGATAAATGAAGGAAACAAAAAGCTAATACATTTAATAAAGGTAAATTTGAAAAACAAAAAGTAGCTTGTGTGATGTATTAATAATATTATTTTAAGTGTAAGGAAATTGACACATGTTTTGAGAAGAAGAGAGAATGACCAAAAGAGAAGGTTAAAGAGAATGTTACTAGCATTCCCCTTGAACGACATGTTGTGATGACTTCTTGATTTATATTTCATTAGCAGGTGCAAGCAAACTCTCGCCAAGAAGCTCTTCTAGCTCAACAGCTGAAAAAAAGAAAAAAGAAACACACAATTTGAACAAAAAAATAAAAACACGAAAATTTTCACCAAAAAAAGAAAAGAAAAACACACAACGAAACGAACGTGTACATGGGTAGCAAACACGCGTGTGCCGTTCTTTTTTTGTTGTTGGTTTGTAGATTAGGTCTTAGTTGGCAAGATTTTAGTGGTGCGTGTGCTAAAGTTGAAAAGTTCACAAAATTCAGAGAGTTTGCTAAAGTTGGACTTTCTTATCTTGTTGTCACCATTATCGGCCCACAAAGTAGTGGTATGATTCTTACTTACCTTTTAATCTTCATTTCTGACTTGGTTGAGGATTCACAAAAATATCACTCTGGTGAATAAGATGAAGCAAAGTTTTTGAAATTCTGCTACTCTTTTGAAGCTTAATCAGATGGAGCAGGGTTTACAAATTACGATATGTTTTTGGTCATTCTCTGTTTTCTCATCTGATATTGATTGATATATCACAATGTCTTTTTAATACTAATCATCTGTCCAGGAAAGGGCACACTACTAAACCATTTATTTCACACCAACTTTAGAGGAAGGCAAGTACTGTGCACAATGATCAACATTAAACTTAGTGTTGTGTTTTCTTTTAGTGACCATGACTATGATGGGATATGCTTTTATTCCAGGTCTCAAACAACAAAAGGTATTTGGGTGGCAAAATGTCCCACCATTCACCCTTTTACTCTTGTTATGGACATGGAGGGTACAGATGGGAAAGAACGAGGAGAGGTGCTTTTAGTTTTCATCATCAAATTTCAATTTATGGCCATGCTCGAATTTATTGTCATTACCAATTCTCTGGCCAACACACGAATCCATTGCTGGATGATCACTTTTTATTTCTTTGACTACAGCTCTTACTTGTTGCTTACAGATGACAGACATTTTCCTCTTACTTAATCAAGAACAGAAATGAGAAATGAAAATGACCGATTTAAGGTCCTAGTATCAGGATTGCTTGTCATGGTTGCAATCTACTTAATTGGAATTTGGTTATTTATTTACAGGATACAGCATTCGAGAAGCAGACTACTCTTTTTGCCCTTGCTGTTGCAGATGTAGTGCTCATTAACATGTGGGGTTTTTCTTTTACCCCTTCTTTATTGACTGTTCGGATTTGTAATATTTTCCCCTCTCTCTGTGAGTAATCTTCTTTAGCAATTTTTATGTAGATGGTGCCATGACATTGGCCGTGAGCACGCTTCAAATAAGCCTCTCCTACACACTGTGTTCCAGGTATTTTCTTCCTCCCTATAAATTTCAGAGGCTTGATTTTTGAACTTTATGCTTGAATTTGTTCACAGGTGATGATGCGATTGTTTGGTCCTCGTAAGACGACAACCCTGATCTTTGTCATCCGTGATAAGACAAAGGTTCCTTCTTCGCTTTTAGTATTTCTCTGTGATTTGAGATGCAGCCAATTTGCATTTGTCTTTATTATTCATTTTAGTAGTCTGTTGCATCGTTTCCTTCCTTGGTATAAAGCCATTCCAGTCTAGGCTGCGTTTTTGATAGTGTAGTTATGCTTTTTTGTTTGTAGACGCCTCTGGAGAATTTAGAAAGCGAACTTCGGAACGACATTCAGAAGGTTAACCAATTTGGTGCTTTATTTGTTGTTGCCGTACTTTTAGTGTTGTTGTTTGTTAACCCCGTCTCTCCTTTACTGCAGATATGGGAGTCTGCTCATGTGTATTGATTGACAATGTATTATATTTATGACTAAATGGCTAGGTTGAGGTTGTTGCGCTTTCAAATTATGAAGACAAAGAAGACACATTTAAAGCGGAGGTATGCATATGTGCTATGAGGGCACCATGCAGATTTTCTTTCTTTTCTTTGGGCCTTGGACACCATGTCAAATTGAATATCTCATCTTTTTTGTTCATGGAATACGAATAAGTTATCTTGATACATAAAAAGGACCATACAAGATTTTCCTGAAAAGAAAACGAAGAAAATAACTAGGCAGGTGTTGCGGGGTTTCTCAAATGTTGCTGCATATTTTATTTCATCAACTACCTTAAAAAATGTTTCTGTTCTTCTGTCCTTTGTCCCTTGCCATTTCCTCTCTCATCTTTTGTTGCAGTCCAGTTTCTGCCTAAAGAAACCAATTGTCCCGTTTCTAATTTTTATACTAAAATGCCTAGTATTCAAATTTATGCATCTTGTACAGGTTTGCCTTTTTTTGGGGTCAAATTTATGTAACTTATGTTTGTGAATGAAATGTTGTTTGCATGAGGGAGAAATTCTTCCATCATAATAAACTTGCTGGAGATCGACAGGCGGTAGTTCCTGCTTCAGGATTTTCTTTGAGTTCACAGGAAATTTGGGAAAAAATAAAAGAAGACAGAGATCTTGATATTCCTTCCATCAAGGTAAAACTGTGAATACAATTTTTTTCGGGGTCGAAAACTGTGAATACGATATATGCATGCAAATTTGATCAAGTCATCCATAACTCTTCCATTGCAGGTCATGGTGGCTACAGTACTTTGTGAAGAGATTGCCGATGAGAAGTATTCTGCTTTTGCAGCAAATGAGGTACCTGTTTTTCATATATTGCCATATTTTCCATCTTCTTCAATTCAAGTTGGATGGCCTTGAATTGCTTTGGAATTATCACAGGAGAAAGTGATCTCAGTTCATGCAAACTTTATTTTATATATTTTATATATAAGTAGCCAAAATTTTGACTGGACATGAAATCACTATTTCCTGGTGGCTTTGGAAAGAAGCTGAGTTCAATGATTCATACTTGTATATCGGAGTATGTATCTTTCACTTATATTTCTCAGCTTGTTGTAGGCTACAGGATAAGATTATATTTCTAACCTTTTGCCTTATGTGGTTGAATTGTTCTTTATATTTAGTTTAATTTGTTTTTACAATTCTAGGTATGATGAAGAGGCTACATATTATGATGAAGGTGTGAAATCCAAGAAGCGCAAGCAGCTTGAAGAAAAATTGCTGCTCGCAATGAATCTCAACATCATTCTTGTCAAACCATATATTAAACATTGTTCTCCTTCCCCCACTCTTTCCTCGTGCAGATGGCTGAAATATAGCAATGCAACCGAGACTTAACGGTTTTGGACTGGCAGAAAATTTTGCCTTAAAGACCAAATTGTGTTTGTTATTCCTTTGATTGTGGTTGATACAATTTCTGTCGTGACTCATCCTCTAATCTGCCATGCATGTCGATCAGGGGTGTACACATTTTACAGTGAGGCTGCCTTTCAAGGCCTTCCGAGTGCATCACAGTAGTTGAACTGATTTGACATAAATTATCCTCTCTTTTTAAGCTTCCAGCAATTTTAATTATCAATTTGATTTAATATCTTTCTTCTATTATTGATTGGTTTCGCTGTCTTATTAGCTTGTTCAACCTGCATTCCAAGATCAGCTGGAACTTAAAAGATCTTCTACTCTGGATAAGTTCAAGGAAGCATTTGATAAGGCCTTGGACGGGGTCATCAAGGGATTTTCTGTGACTGCTCGTAATTTCACCGAGTCTTTCATGGCTCAATTTGACGAAGGCTGTGCAGGTATGTTTTGAGAATGGCATTCCTTTAGCCAAAATTGGAAACTCAAGGATAAAATGCAAAAACTGAAATGCAAAATCAAAAACATGAAGCCAAGATAGATAAGTCACAAGACAAATTGAAATTTATCCTTGTACACTCAAACACATCTTACGTACAAGCTGACTTCCTGCCGATTAGTCAATTATGGATCAAGAGATAATAGTGTAATACTTAATGACAGGACCCGTCCCGAATTTCCCGGAACCCGAGACGAACCCTGCGGAGACCCCGGCATCACACCCACGCCGGGTTTACTCCTTAAATCTACGTCCTCGTTCACCATAGAGGATTAAGGGCACGAGACTCTCTGCCGAAAATTCGGCAGAGTCTCCCCTGTAAATTGAATATTCCCCAAAAGTTCCACCTGCATAAAACTCATTTTATAACCCAACCAGCAGCACGCACAATATAATCTCATGCAATTTACATAAATGGCCTCCGGCCTTCAAATGATTCTAGCAGACTGCCCACACTGTTTTCAAAATAACTTCATGCATCAACCATGCATATAACAAATTCCAAATCTCTCTATGCACACCTTCACTCACTCAGTCCACCGGACAAGCCTCAATTCAACCAAGTTTTGGGACCAACCACGAAGTCCGCATCATACTCGATAAAACCACCTAAGTGGTGTCTAGGTCGTGGCTGCACCTAGGCGCTATCCCAGGCTGCCTACGTACCCTACTAAGGGATCAAGCCACACGTAGCTCTTTCCTATCAATCCTGGCTCCTGATATCAATTAAACCATCACATCCATATAAATTCATACATTCTCGGGTTTATCCATCACAACACACCCAACATAATCACATAGCTCCCCCTCATACGTCGGGACGCACCCGGCCACGTACGGGGTCTGTCAACACGCCGGCTAATCCAAAGACGCGTGCGACCTCACACACTTGGGCCTGGCTACATTCTCACCAGCCATCATACCATCACATCTCCCACTCATACGTCGGGACGCACCCGGCCACGTACGGGGTCTGTCAACACGCCGGCTAATCCAAAGACGCGTGCGACCTCACACTGGGCCTGGCTACATTCTCACCAGCCATCATACCATCATATCTCCCACTCATACGTCGGGACGCACCCGGCCACGTACGGGGTCTGTCAACACGCCGGCTAATCCAAAGACGCGTGCGACCTCACACTAGGCCTGGCTACATTCTCACCAACCATCATACCATCATATCTCCCACTCATACGTCGGGACGTACCCGGCCACGTACGGGGTCTGTCAACACGCCAGCTAACCCAAAGACGCGTGCGACCTCACACTGGGCCTGGCTACATTCTCACCAGCCATCATACCATCATATCTCCCACTCATACGTCGGGACGCACCCGGCCACGTACGGGGTCTGTCAACACGCCGGCTAACCCAAAGACGCGTGCGACCTCACACTGGGCCTGGCTACATTCTCACCAGCCCTCACACAATCATATCTCCCACTCATACGTCGGGACGTACCCGGCCACGTACGGGGTCTGTCAACACGCCGGCTAACCCAAAGACGCGTGCGACCTCACACTGGGCCTGGCTACATTCTCACCAGCCCTCATACCATCATATCTCCCACTCATACGTCGGGACGTACCCGGCCACGTACGGGGTCTGTCAACACGCCGGCTAACCCAAAGACGCGTGCGACCTCACACTGGGCCTGGCTACATTCTCACCAGCCCTCATACCATCATATCTCCCACTCATACGTCGGGACGTACCCGGCCACGTACGGGGTCTGTCAACACGCCGGCTAACCCAAAGACGCGTGCGACCTCACACTGGGCCTGGCTACATTCTCACCAGCCCTCACACAATCATAATATGGGGGGGTACGTGGAGTAGTGCGTATAGCACTGTAAACTAACATTCAATCTCCTTATATATCATTATACATCCACACAATCAATTAAATATATCAAGTAATTTCTAATCATACAATAACATCAACCAATAAAACATTCCATAAACTCCCACATTTAAATTCACCAATTTATATCCTAAACCCACAATATCCACTTTACTCAACAACGCTCAAGACCTGTCACTAAGGTCATTCTAACCCTCAAATAAAGGTAAGACTATCTCGGAAGTCTCACGGTCAACCTAGGGTCAAACGGGCCTGCGGGGCCCACAACCTCCAAATTCCGATCCAAAGTTCCTAGAGGTTCTACAAGCTCTAGGATGCACGTCCTGCAAGTTTGGTCCAGATCGAACGGTCGGATCGCTCACGACCGCAGGATCGGACGGTTACTAAAACCCTAACCCCAGGGTTGGCATTTCCGGAGTATCCGGGACTCCGTTTTACGATCCGTCGAATCCTACACGATCCTGGTAATACCTAGATCAACATATTATAATCTCAGGACCATCCAACGGTCCAAACCCAGCGAACCCGGAAAATACGCGATATGCGATATCCGTTCGGGACCCTAACGGTATCCAAAATGAGATCCGAGCACGCCTACGCGCTCATGACAACCTGAGGATCCCATTGGGACAAAAATGCCCCTCAGCTACAGTGCCCACGCGCCGCCACACGCGCCGGCAGCGCGTGGGTGTCCAAAGCGATACCCATCGCCGGAAAACTTCCAAATCGTGAGCCCAGACTCCTACCCTAGGTAATACACCTAATTTG